GCTCGGTGCAATTGCGGCTTATCTTTACTGATGAATTAGCTGTAAAGCGGAATCCCCTTGTTTTTGCTCTTTTTTTTCTCTCTTATCTGTTCTTTTGCATTACTCCCGTCTGTATTTTGCTGCCTACATCGTGAAGAAGTTGAGCTACACCAATCAGCTTGTGAAGTCCAGTGATCCCATGATTACTGAAAGAAAATCTACCAGTGAACTCAGCAGGAGCAGGTCTTCCTGGGTTTACCCTGACATCTTTCTCGTGCCTCTTTTTCCTTTTCTATCAGCAGCTGTTTGGGAGGAAAAAAACGCTCAGTGGCTTGGGAAATTAAACTGCAGATAAGCACAAAAAATACACATAGATTTATTTTCTCTTTCGACCCAACTCAACGCATTAAATATGAGAATTTATAAAGGTTTCTTTACAGAATGCATTGAACGTTGCAAGAAAACTGAAGCAAGCTCTCTTATGCTGCAAAAAAAGGAAAAAGAAAAAGAAAAAAACACCTTTAGAAATTTTTAAAAGAGGATTGAAGTATTTCCGAATCCGTCCACTTATCATCGTCTTTTCATAATCCATCACCGGCACTGTAGCACAGGCAGCATCTGCTGAGTCTATTTAAGATGCCTTTCACATATAGATTGTATAAACTATTCATGCCCGTGTAGGACAGAGTTATTACAGAGTATGAACGAGGGGTCAGAACTGCGAAGCGCGRGGAAAAATCTGCAGAACATGAGCAGTGGATCTATTTGTAGAGAGGGATGACAGAAGTGATTCGTCTTATGTTTTCAATTTTAGAACAAAAGACGGATGTCTTTGTGTCAATTTTTTGTAACTGCAATCCTTCAGGGTTCAAAGCTTTTCCTTCTGAGTTGAAAAATAAATTTCACTGAAGTAGTTTTTTTKTGTAATAATATGGTGCTGATAAACTGAGAAAAAATATGAAGACATTTAAATCTGTTTTGAAATGACTGGAGAAGCCTACTTCTTTGAGCATACATTCAGTTTTGTTTTGTAATCCAATATTGATACAAGTATTGTTACTTATTGACTTTTTTATTTATGTCAGTATTTTTTTTCTTATTCATATGATCAGGGTCTTGTGTGATGAATTATCTTTTATTGTCACCTAATGCATCATTATGTTATTGTATTGTGTAATCTCAGTGAGCATTATGTAATATGGAAACCTCCTGATGTGAAAATATGTGCTGACAACTTCAAGTGTCTGTGACATTCAGTTTTTGTAACAAATATGAATGTATTTTTTTAGAAAAATAACATTGATAACATATTGCAAAAAATGTTTATGCCCCTGAGATGAACAGTTGTTGAGATATTTGCATGTGAAGTAACAGGAAGTGATGTCAAAGGGGAATGTCTGCATGTAAACAGAGCTTTGCTGAAAATACTGAATAATCGGATGTTTCTTTAGATCATTACTATCAAACAATGGAAACTGGACATTTGTAGAAAACCAAAAGTGAGAAGTTACATTCAGTTTAAGGAAGAGTATTGTACTGACCTTTATGTAAAATTAAATTTATCTCAAAAACAACGGTCCCTTTGTGCCCAGATCAGAATGGGTAGCCTGCCCCTGGCAGTGGATGTGGGTGGGCAAAGGTCTCCCTGAAGAGGAGAGGGTTTGTGTTCTGTGTGATCTTAATGTAGCTGAAGATGATCATCCTTTTATTCTCTATTGTCCTTTGTATTCTGATTTAAGATTTTCTTTATTTGAAAGTATAAATAGACATAGATGTATTTTGGTTGTCTGAAGAACAAAATTTAAGGTGGATTTATAACAAATAAATTTTTGCATTTGCTGTTTTTGTTTGTAAAGCCTGGGAAAGAAGACAGCWTGTTCTGTATCCTGGATGAGTCTCTGATTGTGGAGACGATATTTTTTGTGGGTTTTTGTGATAAAAAGTTGGTCATTCTGTTATGTATTATGTTTAGAGTGTCTTATAAGCTCGTAAGGGCTGGGCTCCGGAAGGGGCATGGCACTTAAATAAATAAAAAAAATCAATCAATCAATCACTATCAGAAAGATGAAAAAGAGTTAGAGTTCAAATATTATTGTTTCAATAAACAAAGACCAGGGAGTTCCTTTTTTTTAAAAGAGTTCCCCTTTGATGTTGCTTCCTTTTTCACATTAGTTGAGCCAAGTTCTAAAGAAAATATGCCATCTATGTGACAAAATGTATAAAATCTTAAATATAAATAAGTTTTTTTTTACTTTTTGTATTTGAATGATATTCATGTCACAGCCGCTTTAAAGTGTTTTTCACTTGAGTAAACCTGTTTTTAGCACAAAGCTGTATGAAATCCAAATGTGAAAATAATGATACAATTTCTAATGAATGGCTGTTTTTGCCAACAGAGTTCATGCACTGAAATATCGTCAAGGAAACTGTGAACATCCTTTAAGTGCTAGTCATCACTGTTTTTATCTTAAGGCGACAAAAAGGATTTATCAGCTCCTCTGAAGGTATTTTAGAATTTTCTCTCCTTTTTTTTTCATTTTCCTACAATCACCTCTGCTTCGCCCCAAGAACCTGGATGGAAAGCTGTCATTCAAATCACATGTACACCTTCTCCGTAGGACCCTCTTCTTCGTGGTCCTGCTGTGAAGTTTCTGTTTGGATCTATTTTGATAAGAATGAGCTGTCACAGAATAACAAGTGGCACCGCAACAGAGTCAGAGAGTCGATGTCACCTCAGACAGTAAGAGACTCTGCTCACTTTCTTGTAGGAATACCATGAGACATGAGTCAAAGCAGGATATTTCAAAAGTCACTCCTTGCCACAAGTATCCCCCACATCCAGCATATCTAAAGTCCTATTTCTGGTTGCACTGTCATATTTAATCTGTCTGTTTAGGTTGAGTGCAGTGAAAGAGGTTAGTGCAGCTTTCTGTATGTTATGTAGAAGCTGGTTGCATCTTTTTTATTTTTATTTTTAAATTCAGTAGCTAAAGCTGTTCTTTTTTCTCTCTCTCTCTCGTGTGAGTGTGCCAGAGGCATGTGGTTCTAATCTTCAGTCGTTTTAGCCAAGCCACATTTTCATGCATGCTGTCTTCCCTGAGGACAGGAATGGATGTGCTTCTTTGAGCAGGAGCTCGCTCACTCCTGGCCCTGCTACACGTGAGCTGGCTGTGACACCAGAGGAAAATTTAGGACTCGGTGCCTGCTTATAAAACACCTGGTGTGGCTGAGGAATCATCATAAAAAAGATTCCTATAAGAATTGATGGACAGAGGTTCAGCTGGGTTTGCAGCAGCTGTTAGCAAATATTTAAGTGTGTTTCTGCTTCAACTCAGCTGTTAGGCTCACAGATGTTCCTGTCAGAACTCCAAGMTTTGCACCTTTAGCTGTGAGTTTTGTGCTTATTTATGTTACTTTTCCGTTTTCAAGGGTTATTTGTAAGAAATGATATGCACACTGAGAAAAATGGTAACAGCTAAGAATGCTTTGTAAAAACATCACCTTGTATAGATCCTTGGGAAGTAACAATGTTTTTCAAAAATGCTTTGACCAGGAAACACACAAAAAGCTTAAACGATAAACACTTACCAGACTGTAGCTGTCACACAAAGCACCCACAGGGGAGAAGTAAAAAAAAAACTTCTGGCCTCTGGCAATTTTTAAGAAAAGTGCAAAATTGTTCCATAAATTTGTTCAACCTAGTGAGTAATAACAACTTATTTTGTTTTCACTCAATGATTTTTTGGTTTGATATATGTTTTATGTGTTTTTTTTCTTTCGGCCACTACATGGTTTGAACATTAAAATCACCTTAGAAAACTTGTAAGACCGATCTATATTCTCCTCGTGCTTGTGTGGGTTTTCTCCAGAAACTCCGGTTTTCCCCACCCCAAAAAAACATGTACAATAGGTTGCCTTCAGGCTTAGGCCGCCCTTCATCTCAATGAGATTTGCCTGGAAAAACATGTGTAAATAAATACATTTTACCCACCTTTCAGGGTCTTTGGGGTCATTGGTGCCCATATCCAGCAGTCACTGTGTGAGGGGCGAGATACACCCTGGACAAGTTCTAAGTCCATCAGGGACACATAAAATAAGAAAAGCAAATAAGTTCAGTGATATACCACAATCAACCTTTACCTTCAGTTTTTATGGAAATAATGTATAAATAATGMATTAAAAATAAGTTTGACTCAGCCTGTCTAAACTCTTTGAAATTGGCCTTTCTCTCTTTAAGAACCTCCTACCATTTTAGACACTCCCACTTCAGCACTTCTTCACAAAAATGTTTTGGGTGAGGYAGTGCTTTGTAYCAGCAAGTGTTTAGGCAGCTCCACATGGCTACCACAGAAGGTTCAGGATTCAAGGAGAATTTAACACTTTGGGTATGTTTCTGGTGACGGAATAACATCATAACATGACATAAAACAATAAGGTTGTTTTTGCTAGTAAAAAACATCAAAAATAAAATACTTTCATTAAATAAACAAGGTATAAACTGTAAAAAGCCATCAACAACCTGCTACAGAAATCCAAATTTCATAAGTCTCAATTCTACAGATTTGTTTACTAGTTTAAAATCTGTTTTGTTTTTTMGCTTGCAAAGTCCATTGAAGGTACATTAGGACTGCCTGCTATTATTTTAGCTCACGATGCATGAATTTTACCTCATGATTGAACTGCTCTGTATTTCTTTTCAATTTCAAAAAAGCCTATTTTTGTGTCCAGTCATTGTTGGGTCTCGGTAGCTCCAGTGATCCAGAAATATGAACCCTGAGGCCAAGATGTTTATTACAAAATATTAAGTTTACTTTTTTGTTGTTGTTTCATTGCATGTAACAGCACCAATTGCAAAGTGATATATGACTGAACAAATGCTCACACAGGCAAAGGTCAGAGCTGAATTAGACATAATTAAAGTTTAAAAAGAAAAACAAGAAGAATATCAAAACACAAACATAAGATTATGGTAAGAATAAAAGGTTAGGACACCGTTTTCACAAAACAGCCAAATTAACTAATTAAAGAAATGCAATTTATTTATCTTTCATGAAAAAATGGTGCAAAATACTCCAATGTAACACAACTACATGTAGCACAGSTATTTGCTGAGAATCAGTTTCCCATGCTTGATTCTTCACAGTACATGGTGTAATACACAAGTGAAAAAAAAGCTTCGCTCAGTGATTCTACACCGGTGAATACTTGCAGTAGAAGGTGGCATATTGTACAAAAATCAACATCCACAAATAAAAACCATCACTACACCAAGAAATGACTTTTTCTTCTTTGATGTGGAAATCTTTGGAGCACATTAGGGATGTTTTATGACATTAGCTTTTCTTCTTCACAAACCCATTTCTCACAGCATGTCTTAAACCCCACTAACAAATGTGTATACTCTCCAAAMCTCTCATTACAACTTGTGCTGCAACATATTATTTCCTATTTCAATTGTTTTTGTCGTCTCAAACCTTTATACATTAGTTCTGTGCCAAGGCTTCCTGCTTTCAGTGCAAACTAATTCCTCTGCAGAGGTGAGCTTCAAAAAGGTCTGTTTTTTTTCTGCTGCTTGTTTTTGTGCAAAATATTTCAGGAAAAAAAAACTTTTAGACTTGAATAAAGCTTGGAGGAAAGGTTGAGCAGTGGCAAAGGCAGAAACCAATAAATGCTGGTTCAGAGTGAGATTATTTTTGTTAAAACTCTGCGATGGGGAATGAGTTTGTCTTAAGATTAAACACGTTTTCTGTTTCCAGTGATGGCACTGATCCTACCATTTTTCCTCTTCAGAGCAGTTTGTTTGAGGAAATGACTTGTGCTGCAGTTATTTTTTTTACTTTTTATTTTTTACAAGGAGTGTATGTGTGTGGACTTACAGTATGTGTGGGTGGTATTTAGCATCAGAGGACACAATGTACCTTTATCAGCAAGTGTACTTGAAAATGACGGCAATGAAAAATCATGCAGATTTAAAGTGAATRTGTTTAAGCAGCTTATGGGTTTCTTGGAGGGATTTCAGTGTCAGTAGTTCATYATTTTTATAATTAAACTTGTTGTTCAGCGTGAAATGGTATCTATAATGACCAATTTAATGTACATCTTTCTGCAGAGACTCAACAGTTATTTCTTGGCATAATATTTATGAGGTTCATTTAGTTTTCTTCTTACATTTCTTTAAACATCTCTCTGCAATATTTGGATTTCTGGCAGCCTCAGATGTGATGATGAAACAGTTTTTTTACGGATGTTTGCATGTTTTTCTCCCTTCTTAGGCTGAAAGAGTGAAAATCAACTGGTAAACAGTGCTGTCACAGCATGGCAAAGTATTTTCTCACTTTGAAGAAAGCCATCCATCTCAGTCCAGAGGGGAGGCGACTTCCTAAATAAATAAAATAAAAAATAAAACAAGATAGTATTTTTTTATTATCATTTTCATGGACAGTTTCTGGTTATCATCGGTTTAACGTTATGATGAAATGACAAACAGAATAGTCTGTTTGGAAAGTAACGCAACGCGCTGGTGTCGTGCCTCAGCGCTGCCGGGAGAAGAGGTTCCTCAGAGCGTTGTTGTAGTTTTTATTAAAGGCTGTGTATATGAGCGGGTTAAAAAAGGAATTGGAGTAGCCCAGCCACAAAAAGATGCTCTTCCAAATTGGYGGGATGTCACAGGAGCACAGCGGCACTATAAGCTCCGTGATGAAGAAGGGGATCCAGCAAAGCACRAACACGCCGATCAGAATTCCAACCATAAGGGCCGCCTTCTTCTCCTTCTGCTCGCGCCATGTGTCCCCATCTGTCTGGAAGGTCACGGTTGCGTGGCGCACAGTGAACACCATCTGGGGCTGTTGGGCATCATTCTTTACCTAGGAGGCAGTAGACCACAGAATAAAGAAGTTACTCCACTGACTCCATTCATCAATCAGTCAATACTTGCTAGCTTTTAAAAACAGAAATCTCTTATAATCTAGGGCAAATATAGGCAATTAATGTGTAGCAGCATGGTTAAAAACTAGATTAAAGGTGAGGAATAGCATCCAGATCAACAAACCCAATTTTATGCAAACACACACGAAGGCTTAAATACAGCGGGTAAAATAGGTATTGAACATGTCACCATTTTTCTCAGTAAATATATTACTAGAGGTGCTGATG